CTTTACTCGCAGCCTTCGGCCCAGTTGACTTTCAACTAGAGGTCTCCGATACAGGCTGTCATATCCTACCACATAGACATGGACTGGGCATTGTTTTTTATGGTTGAGGCGGTCCATTGGCCAATTGTCGAAAGAAAATTCGGCCTTCTCAAGGAGGCTGCCACAAGGTAGGTCAGCAACCTTGTCTCGATCAGCGCATAGTACTGCCCCTCAACTACCAGACGCCGAATATGGGCCTCGCGTTCCAATGAAAGTATGTGGACTAACAAAAAGGTTACCTGTTTGCTCCTTCTTCTTTGTGCTGTGAGGCCACAGCATCCTAGAATTCTCGGAAGCCCCCGCCTCCCATGATGTTTGAGCTGGGAAAGACTAAAAACGAGGCATCAGTCTGGAATTAGCCTTGGAGGCAGCAGAGAGATAGTGTACAAGTGAGTGACACAATACTTTGCAGCTCCATAACCCATCCCATTGTTCATGTTCCTACTCCTACTACAGCTGCTACTGCTGCTACTGTTGTTGCTATTACTACCATATCTTCTTGTATACATATGCCATACGGAATAAGCTTTAGAAAGCGTACTGTGGTAGTTATAGTTTTAGTGGTAATAAAAAGGCGGATAGTCGTACGTTGACCGGTAGACTAGATCTGCGATGCCACTGACCTTTAGGGGGTGCTTCTTGTTATTCTGGAAAGGTAGACGTTTATGCTCCGGTACCTATCTCGTTCGTTGTTCACCGACTTTCCCGAACGGCCTGGCATTTATTCCTAGCTGTGTATTCTTCGGTTCGGGCGCAAAGTTCACCTCGTAGTAAAAGTCGCACGGGACAAGCTTGTCATTTACTACGCCACGCCTTCCGTGCTTCCATCGTCGGACAAACAAATATACACCACTCATTTTTTTTCTACAGAAGTCTCTCGCGACGATACCAGACAGACCAGAGGGACTGTTAGTTCCTCTACATCTTGTATTCACTGCGCCGATCTTCAGTTCTCGCCAGACTCGCCTTCCTCAGAAGTCGCACCTGCCTTCGCATTGCTCTCTCCTTCACAGTCGCATTCCTCCCCTGACAAGCCACCATGACGACCATCAAGTGGGTTGAGGAAACCAATAATCCGCTGCCGCAAGTAGTGGTCTACTCTGCCCCTGAGGCCGTTGTCATTCCAATGACAGACCTCGGGATCGGCAAAGGCGGTAATGACGGCACCAGGGAGAACGAAATACTTCACTCGGTCCATGTGGGTGATGATGCCGCCTCGACTATCGGTGTTGAGAAAGTCTCACGTCTTTGGAACTGGAAGGCAATGATCGGTATATGCATAGGCCTTCTTACTCTCGCCATCGTGGTTCCTCTCACGGTCACACTGTCCATCAAGAATCACACGTCTGGTCCAGGCAACGCTGAGAACCTTGCGACTTCAACCGCCACATCATCGTCACCTTCTTCCACGGCTACCTCTTTGACCTTGCCCCCAGCTCCATCTTCTACTCTGAAGCCGGTAAGCAGCAGGCCCCACTCGCCAGTCATGCCATTTTGTATGATGGTCCATGTTTTCTTCGGTATCTGACCACTTATCATAGATTCCCGAGTGTGTTAAGTCCAAGTTCATCCGAGAAGTCAACTGGATCGGTATCGATGAGGGTGGCGGCGGCTGGGTGTTCAACCTGCACCCGGCCAAAAGCGCTCAGGATTGCTGCACAATCTGCCATCTTGGAACTCCTGACGGCTGCAATGGGTGGCTTTACATACCAGAGATTTCATCGACGCCTTCATGTTCCATTATTCACGGCTTCGACGGCCCGAGCGACAGTGAGTCCTGCCCGAAGGGCCATCCAGACATCGTCTTTACGAAGACGGGAGATAAGGACAGCTATGGTGGACCGGGGCCCTGCTCAGGCTCAGTGCGTGGATAAGAGTAATCGACTAGACAAGCCGAATAAGACTTGGCTATGGTCGCTATGTCTACCGACCGAATGAGATTGCGGTAGGCGAGGTTCATCGGCGCCAAGGGACGGATGGTTACAGGGGCTTCCACATGTGTTGGCGGTTGCGGTGTGCGAGATACTCTTATAGTGGCAATAACAGCGAATTTTCCAAAGGTAGACTTGTCATTACACACACTGAATAGCTGCATAGCATCGAGCTATTTAGCGGGCTCAAAGGGGGTGGAGCTAAGCATTGCTGGGCGGGTAGTCCCGTCCTTTTCTCGCATGGGAGGAAGAACCACAGAGAAATTGCGACTGTAGATGTGACGCCGATTTCTATAGTCACATGCTGCCATCTCAAAACAACGTCTCCCCGGCCAATGTTTCGACATAGATACGTTCTAGTGTCTCCCACTCCATATTCCACGCCTATCTTTCTTATTTAGTTCATCTTTCTCATCATAACTTTCCTGGGCTTTCAAGTCATTATTTACAGCATCACTCGCGCATAGGGGATTCATTTTTGATGATGACGATGGTCCAGACCATGATAGAGATCTAGACAAGGTAGACGGTAGACTGTGATGTCACCACCAACCTGCCACTCATAGATCCACCCACTGGCTTTCATCGAGCTCAGTAAGTGTTGAGAATATGCTTCCAGTAAGATTACTTCTGTGAACAAACTGACGGCTATTGCCTACACGGGGAATTCACCAACCATGCAGAGCCACCGATAAAAGGCTTAGATATAGTTTCCTACTCCAGAACCGGTTCCATGTTGTGCCCGGGATAAGACAAGCTTATCAGTCCGAGCCAAGCGAGCATTATCAAGGGCTGGACCGAATGCTCTCTTTCAGTTTCTAGATCCCCACAATCATGACAACTTGCCCAGGATCAGTGTTCAGAGGGAGCAACAAGCCCAACAGGACAGCAACGGGGTGGAATAGAAAACAATCCTACAACCCTGTTTAACTTCCCCCGACTGATGAACTCGGACTTGGCGACGGTACAACATGTCGAAGCTCGGCAGGCCACTTAGCGACCCTAGCCATTTATCTGATATATGAGGAACGGAACTACGCAGCTCAACATATGCCAGTACTGGATATTTGACACGAGCACTAAACTCCGTAAGTTTGCTGTGCAACGTCCAAGGCTCCAAACGAAGCATCATCAGAAAGGTCATGGTTGCAGCACGTGAGGGCTATGTCGTTTCGAGAGACAAATTTCTGCTGAAAATACTCGGACCTCCACGACAACGCAGTAACCCGAAATAGGCAGCAAGAGGCTGATGGCCAGCACACAGGGTTGATTACCTATACGACTGAATGATCCTCAGGGAATCGCACAGAACCCATAATGTGACATCCATTTCGGTGACGCTGACTTTGGAAAACGTCTCGAAGGTCGCTTACCTGACAGGAATTCGGCGAAGCCACCAAAGAATGCTCAGATAGAAGCACAGCCGTTGGGTGCTCAGTCATCTTTGCGCGTGGCTTTGACGCGGCTCTGCGTCTTGAAGTTGCCGGCCACGCCGTCATACGTAACGGCATAGCCCTCTCTACGGTTCGAAGCGATCAAAACGCAGGCCTGTGCCTCAGCCGAACGGCTCGTCCCATGACTTAGAGTCTTTCATGCAAGCTAGGCATTGGAACATTTTCCAGCATCAACGCCAGAACGATACCTACCCTCTCCCAAACAACAATTCATGTGATTGGGCGCTGACTGTCAAACCCAGAAGATCCTTAGGGTGCTGATTAACAGCACTAGCAGGCTATGTCGGCCGGGGAAAGGGAGCAAAGCGTATAGAAGTTGGGATCTGGTCATTGCAGTGTACTCCCGGTCCCAAAAAGTTCGTGATTTAGGTTTTAGGAACGCACTCTTACACTCCTGCGTTCCTGTGCTCCTGCTCGGCAGTGCGTCGAAAACCTAGTTGATCATATTGCGCGGTCATCTTCTCCCGATGTCCAATCAACATGTTGTGACGAACAAGGCAATACCAAGTTCCATCGCCGACGATCGTGATGATGGAACGAGACCATACGTCAGGGGCGGAGACCAAAAGGATGAGAAGAGGAACAATCACCAAAGACTCCTGATATGATACCTGTCTGTTCCACATATATAAGTGCTCACCACAACCGCGCTCAAAGATGAATGTGACCTTTACCATTCACACATTACAGTCACAACGCAACGAGCCTCTTCGATAATTCCCATATACACCATCCCAGACTTCACTACACTACATAGTCTCTCAACATATTCATCATTGTTCAAAATGAAGACATCATTCATCGCAATCCTCGCTGCCGCCGCCGGCATGGCCATTGCTGACAGCCTTGACGTGCCCGACTGCGCAAAGCAGTGTGTCAACGATGACATCCAGAAGAGTGGCTGCGCTCAAGATCAGATCAAGGATTGCTACTGCCAAAAGGCCAATGTCAACTCACTTGTCAACTGCGTCAGCGGCGCCTGCAAAGACCAGAACGACCTGATCAAGGCTGCTCAGGCTGCACAGAAGTCCTGTCCACAGCTCACTGGCGGTGGCTTCATCCCTGGTACAAACAATGGCGGTGGCAACAACAACGGCGGTAACAACGGAGGAAAGAACTAGGCTCCTCCAGAGTTGACTCGTTGATACAAACCGCCATGTATCGACCGAGGCTCTCTTTCAAAGCTACGGATTTGCTTTAAAACCTAAGATGGTGCTGTATGCATGAGAATCGTGCACAGTGTAAGGGGAGTTGTTGGGCAGCTACGTCTGAGAAGGATTTTTTTCTCGATGCTGGGGTTGTTGACAAGTTGCGGCCATGATCTTCGTACACATATGTACAATAGCGCTGGTTAGTTAGGTAGATGAAATCCATTTCTCTTATGTTTTTGGGCAACCTTGTTTGCCTGCGGAGTGTCAAATGCCCTTGGCCATATGACAAGCTACACTTTTGCATCAATGTGAATAGACAAATATTGGGGCGGCCTACAGTCTATGTTAGTTGGCGTTGCTAGCTGTAAATATTGCTGTTGGTTGGGTATCGTGCGTCCTGTAAACTACTGATCTCCTGATCTAAGTTACAAAAGTGGAATCTTGCTGTAAATATCATCATAAATCTTCCCAATCCATCCGTCCGTAGGGCCACCTCTTGCCACTATTCCCAGTCCGCCGGCAGCCCAGATGCCGGCCGCAGCCACAGCGGCGCCGTGAAGCGCCCACCACGCTCTTCTTTTCCGCCGTCGTACCTTTTTGTCTATCACATTGTGTCCACTACCACTCCACCCCATAGCCGTTGGCGCCAGGCCCAGCCATTTTGCTGCGCCCCAAATCATATGTCCGCAGCCTATTGCGAGAAGACCGGTGTATGCAATCCACGAGATGATGGGATGTCGAGCAAACCCATGCGAAACGAAGCCCAAGCCAATGTTCGAGCTATCGCCGTCAACTTGAAGGGGAAGGATCCGATTAATGCCTGCGTGAGCAGCGAGAAGAACCGTGAAAACGTAGCCGGAGATAGATATGTAGCTGACGGACGGCCATATCCTGCTAGCGGAGTTGACGCTATTGTAGGTCAAGGTTCGTGATGTTTTGCCGGTCTGGGCTCGATACAAGGCGTACATGCCAGGTGTGTTGCCTCCATAACGCTTTAGATTCTGAGATCTGCGAACTAGGCGGAGAGCGAATCCAGAGGCAATGTGTGCAACGATGGGCAACGCTACGAGGATTGGCTCCGTAAGAGATGTTTGGTAAATCTCCCTCGAAAGTAGCAGGTATGCCTCGGAAGCTGGGACTGATCGCGCAAACAGTGGTATTATCGAGGTGTTGACGACGTGGAGTGATGTGAAAACTGGTACTAGGTAGGAAGAGAACTTCTGGATCCGTGTTACTAGAAGGTTTGTACGCATTAGCCAATACAACTTGCAATTGAAGGTAGCAGGTTCTGTCGCTGCATTCGCATTCGGCAACTTACGGTAGAAGATAGCGCTGTGACCGCTGCCGCTTAATCCGGGCGCAGAAGAGGTTGATCTGAGAGAGCCAATGCTATCCTCTAGGGCATCTTCAGGCAGAGGAGGAAGATCTTTATCAACGTCCGCCGGTGGCGTCTCGATTGGGGACGGGTCTAGTTGAAGGAGCGATATAAGAGTCTCTTCCGACGGTTTCGAGTGAAGAGATCTAGACTCCATAGCTACGCAAGCGCCGGCACGACCGAGACCGGTCTTTGGAAGCAGAATATGTGCAATTTGAAATTGAGCTGTACAGATTAGAGAATTGAGACTTGGAAGGTGAAGTTAGAAATGTCGGCCTCCAAATTGTCAAACTGGGCAGCTGATCAATCCTCGGAACGTCATAGGTTGACGTTGCAAGGGCGGCAGCACTTGCCAGTTCCCGCGTCTGAGCCTGCAGGTTTAGTGGGCCTGGCGTCAATCCGGAGAGCCGCAAGACCTTCACCTACGGCGGCAAGGTACCTTACCCAGCTTAGCCTTGCCTCACCTTCACTCATCCATAACTTACTATGCCATAGCCTGGCCACTTTGTGTTGGTGAAAATACTGATGATTCCCCCGACAATGATATATTTTTCACACTTAGTACGTGTTTGACGGCCAGACGTAGATTAAGTCTTTCATGGCAAGGTGTCCATGTGTGGTAAAGGTACGGAGTACCTCGGGTATGTGTGATGTTCAGGGCGTGCTGCGACTCCCCACACAACGTTGTGGGTCCAAGTTGCTGGGACTTCGGGAACCTGCGAGCTTGGTAACATCTCAGCCAGGACTCCAAAAATACGCTGATAGCATTTCCCCACACCGACCATCACATATTCCCGTTGCGCCTGACCGGTAGCTCTTCGCTATCTTAATTCCACAAACATGCCTCCGGTAAGAGAACTTCTAGTTTCTCTCTCTGCTTGACCAAACTTCTAATTCTACATGCGCTTGCCCAGCGACACCAAACACTGCCCCCGGCGCAGACCGCAGCCGCCCGCGAAGCCCTGCAATCATTCTATTGCAGCCTCTGTTCGAAAGGATACTCTCGCATGAACGATTACGAGGCGCACCTTAGTAGCTACGACCACAGCCATAAACAACGTCTCAAAGACATGAAGGCTATGGTTCGCGATCCGAACGCCGGCGCCCGAGCTCGGAAGGCTGAAGCCAGGGCGGATGGCCTTGTCAGCATCAAGCTCGCCAACAACGAGCAGCCGCAGCAGTCTACGACAGGTGGAGGACTCAAGAAGGGCGGCTTCAAGAAGTCAGGTTTCAAATCGGCATTCGCCCTCGTCGATGCCCCAAACGCGCTAGACGCCCCGAGATCAAAAGTCGGCCAAGCCCTAGAGGCAGACAGACTTGCGAACGCACGCGAACGGGATGTCCTGATTGAGAGCGATACCGACGACGAAGACTACGAACATTACGACCCGAAATACCCCACCGAGTGAAAGCTCAAGCCAAACGCACGACAAACATCATGCGCAATAGAGCCGGCTAGAGCTTGAAAGGACACAGGAGTAGCTTAAGGCAATGAGGCGTTTCGACAATATTTCCATTCTATATGGGCTCACAATGTCATGTGGCGAAACCTGGAACTATCACTCAGCTCTCACATTGCTAGCCACTGCTTAGCCTCGCATCCTCCAGGCACTCTCGGAGATAAAATCGTGTTAGGGAGGTCACGATCGGTCAATTGTACTCAACGCGGCGGGAATGCGATGGCTCATTTCCGGCCATTCCTTCGCAGCCAGTCTAGTTGAACTGGGTTAGGTCTTCTTCAAGCAATCCCATCATGTACTGGCTACCCGAAAACCAGTTGCCCAGTTGAGCGGTTTGAAGGGTAGGCTGCGACATATCGCTAGTATCCATGCCCTGAGCAGGATACACCGTGGGCGGGAATCCCAACGCGCTCAGGTAGACATCGAATTCGTCGTTGATGGGGCCGCGTTCATTTGATTGCTGGGATCTGCTCTCCACGTATAGAGTCGCCACGTTACAGAGCATTGAACAGAGCTGGTGAAGCTTCTCTACAGGCTCCGACATGGCGCATGCGGGTCGAAGTGAAGCGACGAACTCATTAAGCTTCTTGAGGTCGCCAGCGTTGGAAGTGTCAATGACGTGACAGAAAAGGACGAAGAAGGGCGTGAAAGGCGTGAGGAGAATTGCCCTGCGTAGGAGTCAGCATGGATCGTAATAGTCTACTGCTTCGACTGACCAGTGAATATAGACTGCTTTAAGATGCCGCCCTTCCTCGGCAATTCTCTGCATGCATTCAAGGTGCAGCTGCATGGCAAATCGTGCCGTGTCTATACATTCCTGAGAAAACCGTGTTGGCGAACCTTCGGGCGCTGGCAACGCCCTGTAGATGAGAGTCAACGTGGACTGAAATGTCAGTTCGTCGCCTCGCAGGTGTATGTCCAAGATAGACGATGCGTTGAGGGCCTTGAGGCCGAAGAGAGCCTGCTCCCGCACATGCGACGCAGCGGCCATGATCGTCTTTTGTTCATTTTCCAGGCGACGCACGGTCTCGATGCGCTCTTCTTGCGACTGGCCCAGAGCAAGTGGACTGTATCTGCCATGCAGGTTAGCTTGATATCCTGTCTCGTTGAGATAGTAGAGTCAAACAATTGTTCATAAACGCGGTGTTGGATCTCAGCCTGCTTGATCCACGTTGTTATGATGAGACCCCATGGATCCGCAACCATGGTGTTGTCGACCCGCCGCGGCAAGGTGACGTCCCAGTCCTGGATGACCGATGCTCTCCCCGTTCTCAGAGACAATGTTTTGTCGAGCATGTACACATGCCAGAACAAGAGGGTCTTGATGTCTCTAGGTCCGGTACTCTCGCTCCTCACTTGCGATACGCGGTGGTAACCAAGCGTCTGACACAAGCTTGCAGCAGTGGATGTGAAAAGCCACGCGAGCGACGCTTTAGATACATCCACAGCATAAACGGCCTACAGTCGCTGTCAGCTGTATCGTCTACAAACAAGCACAGCAAGACCTTTTACGGACCGCCAGGAGCAAGGCTTCTATGCTTTCGACCTTTGCAGGGAGCATCAAAGGCAAGGAAGCTAGCGCCATTTCTAGATTGCTCTGGCACATATGTTGGTACCTCTCAAACTCTTCGCGCGCGGTCGCATCCGATGCTAGGTATGCTTGTTCCATGAACAAGTAGAAGAGCGCCCCATTCACTATGATGAATGTGGTATCAGCAAAGTTGTCGGTGCAGAAGTACACTCTCCGGCAGAGCTCGGCCAGGTCATCAACATCGAGGAAAGAGCATGCGAGTGAAAATATGCTAGGGGGAGAAACTATTCTCATGTCAGTCTGTTGAACTCTGAAGATTAGGAATGAGAGGACCTTTCATATGCTTGAGCAAAGCAACGACGGCGTTCATCGGCGGCATGGGCAATTCAGGTAGACCTCCTGGAGGAAGCGGCTGATGCGTACGGAACCGAAAATCTCGATTGGAAGAGGCTTTGCTCTGCATAGCGACGATATGCCGGAGCGAAGAGAGCGCAACTTGCATGTTGGGCGCCACGTCCTGGAGCGATGTCCTCTGCACGGCGTTTTCGATAAAGTCGCTGGCAAACATGGTGTGGGCAGTCAGAGAGAGGTCGCCCTCGAAAGCTGAATCCGAATCTGCACCGTCATGGGACAGGACAGAAGCATCCCCGATGGTCGAGGCTGAGGGCGTCGTATGTCTGGCCCTAGTGGCATCCCATGAATGACCACCTACACCAGGAGGGTTGTTGCTGAGGCTCCGCAGGAGCTCCTCGATATTCGAAAGTCGTTCCTCGATGAGATCAATCTTTTTCTCGCTAGTTATGGCAATATCAACATTGGCTTTTTGCTCCGTCAGATTTCGCGAGCCCAGTGGTATCAGGGAGCCGTGTTGGTGAACACAAGACAGTGAATTGATCTTAGAGTGAGGGATATGAAGTGAGGTAGAGAACTTAGGGAGGGGACAAAGAAAGGCGAGGTGGATGGCGTACTATTGAAGAGAAATGAGCACGCGATGTCTCTGCTCCTTCGGCTTCTGACCAACACCATTTGAGCTGCAGGAGCGTTGAGTTATACGGCAATTGGAACATGGCGAACTCTTATCACAACGGATCTGTAGCACAAAGCCAAAACGTGTTCTTGTCAGCAAATCCGGATTCTCAATTTAACGCGTGGGCTATATCTCCTTGGCACAAGGCAGTAGGGGGGAGGAGGGGCAACAGGGCAGGAAGAATGCTCTGCTTGGAGGGTACAGTTTCGATCGGGGGCTGGTCAAGAAACAGACACGAGCGGTATTGGGGGGACCAACTTTACGGGTGCGACATTGATCACACTAGACGACAAAGAATTAAAGTCAGTATTTGATTCTAGTGGACGAGGTTTTACTGGTGAGAAAGAGGTCCGATGGATCGTGTGAAGCAAAATAGTCTGAATATGGATGTATGTGACATACAGCTCGACGGAGGCCCTGGTCATCGGGGCCCGCGGACCGGGAATCGGAATCCATGTTCATAAAGAACAACGCAGACCCAACACTGCAGCGTGCCTAAGCCGTGCTTTGCGGCGGTGTGTGCCAGTGTGCGTCAAGGTCCTCTCTGAACTATTGGCCAAGGCAGGGCCCGTAAGGAGGGCGCTGCAGGACAGTAATTAAATGGTCTCGGAAACCGAGAACTTGGGCGGCTAGAGGAGACAACGGGAACGCTTGTTGTATCGGAGATGCAGTTGCCTTTCGGTACCTCCTTCAGAATGAGAGCGAATGAGTTGCACTACGGGTGGTTGGCAAGCAAGAGGTGATCAGTTGAGAGGGATGTGGAGTGAATAGAACCGACAGTATGGTGGTAGTCTAGGTCTGGATAATGGACACTGGGGAACGAGTACCGTCCCTAGGGGGTCTGTGAAAGAGGGCTCACAAAGAGCCAGCGAGTGTTAGAAGGTTTAAGAGAAGAGCGTGGGGGATGGAGAGAAGGTGTGTTTGTGTGTGGGAGGAGATGGGAGGAGAATAAACTATGAATCGAAATGCGGCAAAGGCAACGGCAATGCAGGTATGGGAAGCGATAAATGAGCTTATTTCATCGATCTTTGGCTTGAACAACGTAGCTGTGGCAGTGTAGCTCGATTAGATAATTCTGGAACTGTTGAGCCTGGTAGGAGATAGAACTGACGGCCTAGGCTGGTGGACCGGGATTGATA